ATATGAGACTCTTCGATTTGACACTTTTTTCCAACGCCTGTAGTTTTTTATTCATCTTTTTTGAGTTGGAATCAATCTCTTTAAGCTCCTGCTCCGTTTTTTCGATTTTCTGTGTATTTGCAACCATTTGTGCTTGTTGTGCATCGAGCTTATTGTCAATTGCAGTAATTTTCTCCAGCAGGGGGTGAAGTGCTTCCGATAACAACATTTGGAGTTCCGCAGTTGAGTCCTGTCTAGGAACAGAACTCGCAGGGCTGGAACTTCTGGGAGGAGGAAGCTTAACTTTTGCTTGTTTGTCTCTGGGATCCTTCACAGGCGGCGCCATGTTTGAGAATTGTCTACTTTTATTAAAAGTTTGTCAAAGTCTCTGGAGGCTCTTGAACAACGCGGTAAGCTCTCAGAGTCTCTTTATTTCAGTCCATTCGCTTTTTGCAGTAAGCCCCCGTTTTTTCTGGCTTTAAAATCACTTGTAAACAGTTCTTAACAGGGGAGAGCCCCCTCCCCCCTCGTTTTCTTTCCGGGGGCAGCGCTATTTTTTGTTTTTTCCGCTTATACTTAAACTCACATTTTCAAAGATTGCCCACTTGCACTTAAAGTTGCTTGATCACCACACGCTTGCTCCAGTGTGCTGATCTTGTTCCCATTCGGGATGCTCCACGGCAGGACCGTCGGGGCTTGGAGGAGCCTCCCGTCACTGGCTAGATGCGCCGGAGGAGAGTTCTCTGGCGCCCCATGGCTGGGAGTCCAACCCAAGGACTCCTGGGGTGGTGCGGACAATCACGCCCCCTCCCAACCGTAGGCATTGGCAAGCTTCTCCTGGAGCCCCGGGAGAAAGCAACTGCCATGGCGATCGCCGAAACCAGAAGTCTCCCAAAAGGCCATTTATCCCTCTGAAGCAAATGGTTTAGATATGGAAAGAATCGTCTGGTACTGTGCATGCTTTAAACCATAAATGTATTGCAACTGTTTAACTTTAACAAAAAGCAGCTTCCTCATTAAAGACTTGCAGTGCAATCCTAAGCATGTTTACTCATAAATAAATCCCATAGATTTCTCAGTGTGCCTAAAACGCATTCTTCACCTGGTTATAACTGTTTTAAAAAGCTATTACCTGGGACCTGATATGGTAGCCATCAACAAACATTTGCTACAGAGGCCCTGCTCTGAGTGCCCTCCTGTTTGGAGGTTCAATGAGTGATTGTCTGTGACTCCTTCTCTTTGTTGAGTTTAGTGTAACAGAATGTTTTTTTTTTTAATTTCCCAGTTGGATTCAAGGGTTTATTTCTTGTCTTTGAATCATTTTTATGATGACATATAATTTTGATTTTTTAAAAAAATATATTCTAATTGTTGCTAATTAAAAGCCAGTTCTGGGGTTTCATTGATGAGTACAGGATATATGTGTATTAAAGAAAGCAAGACGAAGCAGCACTGAAAGTTTTTCATTGCTTAGCATATTATGACTTAGAAAATCAGCCACACGTACAATATTTCTTCAGTCAAATGCTAGAGGGGATGTGATTATCTAGGTTATCTTTAGCAAATGTGGTGCCTTTGTGATGTTGCTTCCCATTTTTGAAACAGGGTATTTCATGAAGTGAGAGAAACTACAGGACAATAAAAAACTAAAATTAAAAAAGGAATAATTAAAATTCTAAATACACTTTCTAGAAACTAAATAACATTGAACTCCATGAGACTTAAGAGCATTTAGAATGTTTGAGATCAGGCTGGAAGTAACATAAAATGTGTTTCTAAATATTATGAAGGCCACACGAACAAGGAGATTATATTATGATCTGGATTCAAATGGTATTTTAAAGCAATTTTTATATTTTCTTTGGTAACCTCATTCAAACTAACCTTGATCAGGGAAAAATACTTCAAGCAATGAATTTGATGTTGATGATATATGACAACAGCATCATCTATATCTGAAATATGAATGAAGGAAGGGATACACTTAAGGTCTGTTCATTCATGTGAATTATATGATGTAGATGAGGTTTCTGTCATCTGTCTCCAACATACACACTTCTCTACTAGGGTTGCCAAGTCCCCCAGGGGGACAGGGGTTTGCCCTCTTGACAGGCCCCTTACCCACCGGCCCAGATCCGGCCACCAGGGGGAACCTCATCCCCAAAGTGCCGGGATTGCAGCGACATGCCCGGCATGATGACACCACCCAGAGGTGACATTATTACACCGGCATATTGCAGGGGGGATGCTCTATCATTTGAGGGGAAACTCTATACCCCGGAGAGGGGCCACCGCCACCACACACCCCACCGCAACAAAGGTAAGACCTGGCAACCCTATTCTCTACAAAAACATGCACATATTTACTTATGTTGTGTCCTACTAGTTTCAGAGAAAGGTCATATACCACACTCAAACGCTGAAATTTTAGCTTAGTATTTCAACACTTTGTTAACAAAATCAGATTGTGTAGTCTGCAGAAGAGGTATCACGCCAAGATATCTGGCATTAACAGCTCTATCCTGAATATGTTCTAGTGAACTAAGCACATGTAGGAATTCTGTAGGACATCATGTTTCTATTCCATAATGAGGACTAGAAGTTCATATATGGAGTGCTGAATTTCTGTCTTCCCTTCTCCTGCCTTTGCATCTCCTTTGCTAATTCTTACTGCCCATAATTATGGTTCTTTGTTAAAGTTGTACAAGAGAGGGACTCACAAGGACATGCATGTGAAGAGAAATACCACCCCCCACACAGCTGTTCCCTATTTCTTGTCCTCTTGCTTGGCCCCCAGTTGTCCCACTACCTCTGTTCTCTGCCTTTCTCCCTAATTCTCTCATCACCTTCATTCCTGCCATTATTGCCGCTGCATTATCCTGTCAGCCCTGTCACTGCCACAGTCTCCCTCCTACCACTGCCTCCTTCTCCCTTCCCCACTTCCTCTTCAGTGCTGCATCTCCCTTTTCCCATTACAGTTTCCCCTACTACTACTTTATGTCTCCCTTCCACTACTCTTACATTTAGAAACCCTTATGGGTGAGATTGCTGGGAAACCGCATAATGTAGGACATACTCTCTTGTGTTCTGGTCAACATTTTGTTGAAGTCATGATGTTCCTATGGGTTGTTTAAGGCCCCTAATCTTTTGGTGAGAGCTCCCCCCCTTTTAGGTTTGAGGTATTTCTTCCTTCCCTTCCTGTACATGGCCCATTGTACCAATTTTTGATCCACTCTCTGGGGCCAGGTTCAGGCTTAGCTATATGACTGAGATTAACAGTGGCTATCACTGACTAGGAGCTGCGGTGGCTCAAGTGGTTAAGGCGCTGAACTGCAGGCTGTGGAAGGTCGGTAGTTCAGCAGTTTGAGACCCGAGTGTGCCGCATGAGGGAGTGAGCTCCTATCTCTAGTTCCAGCTCCTCCCAACCTAGCAGTTCGAAAGCAAGAAATTGCAAGTAGATAAATAGGTGGGAAGGTAACAGCGTTCCGTGCACCTTGGTGTTTAGTCATACCAGCCACATGACCACGGAAATGTCTTTGGACAGCGCTGGCTCTTTGGCTATGAAACGGAGATAAGCACCGCAACCCTAGAGTCGGATTCGACTGGCTTTCAAGCAAGTGAACCTTTACCTTTACCTATCACTGACTAGGCTAAATTTTTAACCCAGAATAGGTAAACAGGTTCAAAATTGAAGGGTTAACCATGATTAATATCTGTGTGAATATAACATCAAGTTAGAAGGAAAGGAGGAGTTGCATTTTAGGGGTGAAATCTGGAAATGTAAACATGTAATCCTGCAGGTTGTTCCTGATCCATTCATCATCATAAAAGTAAACATTCCCTCCCCCTTTTCCCTTTTTCAGTCTTCAGTGTATTCTGGTACAGAGAACTTCTTTGATAATAGCAAAAATATAGAAAGATAAGCATAAGATATTTCAATTTTGGAAGGAAGAACTGTGGCATATAAGACTGCAGTATAATTGGGTGTGGTCACACTGGCGGTTTGGTGCAATATGGTGCCACCTCTAATTGTACTGGTTTAAAATGTTGTGGGGAATTGCACACCCTGCTGCAGGTTACGCGTGTAGCCATCCCATGGTCAAGCACCTCAGCCACTGAGCACACTGCTCGGTAATTTTTTTAAAAAAATGCAGGTGGTGCGTGGCATAAATGGATGTGTAGGTTCAGACCGCCAGTCTTTTCTGTGCACCCATGTTCAGACATCCAGCCATGCACAATGAATGTGCGGGAAACCGAAAACACCACTTGTGATGTGGTGCCTTTTTAACCCAAGTCATCCTATGACAGGGTGAGTATGCCTAGGGAACGCCTGACAGGTGTGGCTGGGTGACTGAGCTCATTTAATCTGTAGGGTAGGGGTGGCTATATCGGGCCAAACTGCTCGTCTGATCGCATCCATTATTTCCATTGGTTATTTGATGTGTCACATGAGATATATTTCTACCAGGGAGAACTGAATCTCAGTCTTGCTTTAACTATGGATTGTCTGTCCTTGGACAAGTTAATGTGATTTAAGATCCATAGATTTTCCTCATATATTGACACTCTTTTAAAATTATTTATTTCTAACTGCAGCATTTCTAACTACAAAACATTCATTTGATGAAAAAATTGAGAATTGCATTTTCTGTTATTCACATATGATACATCACATGTTATCATCAAATAAATAATGACTCAGATCATTATGTAGGAATTTGGACTGTGCAGTTTATAGCCAGTTATACACTGGTGATCTACATTTGGTTGATGGCTTTTTAAAAAATTAGCATAAAGATTACTAAAAGTTACTAAAACTGAATAGTGTTCATGGTAGTTTGCTATCTTAAGTGGTAGGATTTAGCATAGGTTTGTCATATAATGAAAATAAATTGTACTTTTGTGCATTCCTGGACTGACCCCCCCCCCAATCAGCCTGTCAATAAGTTACAATCATGTTTACAGTTATCTTCCTGTTGTTCCTTTCTCTTCCCCTACTCTTTTTTTCTTCCTGCCTAAAGCTACTTAAGGAAATAGCACGGAAACGCAGAAGCATTCGTTTGGGGAGAGAAGCAGATTTAAAGCCATATATTGCAGCACACTTTGAAGTACTTCCTACTGAGTTCACCCTGGGGGATAAGAAACAGTATGGTGGCTTTGAGAACAAGCAACTCCAAAACGGCCAAGAATATGTTGTCTTTATTTTAGCTGTTATGGAACATTCAGAATCTGTAAGTTGACTCCAGGTTTTAGGCTGTTGATTAGTTTCTAAAATGTATTTCTTTGACATTCCTGTTGCATTTTATTATCTTCTATAAGGCCAATTATGTACGGTGTAAAAGTATGCTTTTCAAAAATCAACTTCTCTTATTAAAGGCCTTTTTCTTGAATTCTTATACTTTAACAGTCTTGTATAAGGATAAATACCAGTTAAGTTAATATGTGTATGTTCAACACAGAACACTTTCCCTATGTATTCTTCCCCTCCTTCTTCCCCTTTTCTCCCCCTTTCCCCCCCTCCTGTTACTTTTACTCGTTTTTCCTTAACTGGATGAAAATCAGACTCTGAATTCACAGGGATAAATAGTTACACTAACAAAAAAAAAGTTTAAATTTAGGAGTTTCCTCTCTTGCAGATTATTTTGTACACTCAGGTAATATATTAGCTAACAAATTTCATAGTTTGTTTGTTTTTATTACTATTTATAGGTCTTTTATTGTTTAATGTAAATATGCTGAAATATACATTTCAAGGCATTATTGAATTAATATACTATGGGTCAATAGATTGCACCCAGGCTGAACACTCTTAACTTTCCCTTCATGTGTAATCATCAGGTTTAAAGGTGACGTGTACACAGATATATGTGATCGTTCGTCTTTCTGCCAATTTTGGAAGAGTAAACCATGTATATTAGCAGAAAATGTGTACACTTTGCCTTGTGTATTGCATCAATATGAAGGGTGCTGGTAGACCTGATCTCTAGACCTAATTAAAAAAATGGCCGTCGGCCAGATGGCATGATGTCAGTTCTGGGGAAGACCTGGAAGTGGCTTCATTCCTCTCTAGAAATCTGGCAATTCCTAGAAAGGACTGCTGTCACTCCTGGGTTTTCCCCAAAGTGACATCATGACATCACTGACAGTGGCTTTCCCATGCCTCCCCCCCATCTCCCTCTGGTCGCCAGGCCATGTCTGGCATCCCTACTGGCCCTGCTGCATATTGATTTCACCCTCATCTCCAAATGTGTACATTTTAAGGTTGTTTTCATCATCTTAATCATCATTGTTTGTATCCTGTTCAAGTTCTAAACTTTGTTTCTTGAAATCACTGGTCACTCCTTAGCCCTGAAGTTCACAGTCATATCGTTTTACTGTGCCTTTTTTTTTAGAAGGGTTCTTTCTTGACTAGAGACATATTGCTCAGACACTGGTACCATTGCCAAACATCTTTGGAAAAAGAGAACTAATCAAGGACATGCTCAGCTAGCTTCTTTAATTACAGTAATTTGCCACTGACTTTATCAGTGAAATGTAATAAAGTTAGAAAATAATGTTATAAAAAGTAGAGTTCCTGAGGTGATCTAAATAATGAGTTGTCTTTTCCCTCTTATGTAATTCATCTCTTTCTTATGTGCCTTTTATGCTTCAGTCGTTTTAACTGCATGTAATACAGCTTAAGAAATAATTAAGCAGTCATGGAATGAGAATTGTGGGAATGTGCAGTAGACATTCATGTTTTAGCATACAGTAAGTTACTTGGTATCTTCCTAATTGGCTCTTAAACCTGCCACGTATTTGTGCTGGTCTGAGCCTGTTAAATTTAATTAATCCAAGTCAGAGGTTTGGTGGCTCTTCATTCGTGAGAGTTTTATCTGTCTGATTGCAAAGGGAAAGCTTTCTTTAGTCCGTTTTTACACTTACCACTGTGTTTTACAATCGCCATCTAGGCTGTTCCTTTTCTACTTTTATCTTGAAATTGTTGCGATAATTACAGGAACAAAAACTTTGAACAAAACAAAAGTTCAATATTCCCAGCTCCACTTTCACAGGAAAGCTATTTTGCAGCATTTTTTTAAAAAATTGCTACTATATCATTAAATAAGAATCTTATTTCCCTTTAGACTATGTATGCAACCAGCCCATATTCGGAAACTGTTGTGTCAGTGGATCTTAATCCCCAGCCAATCACAGATGAAGAAGAAGGCTTGATCTGGGTTGTAGGACCAGTTCTAGCAGTTGTGTTTATCATCTGTATTGTTATAGCTATCCTGCTTTATAAAAGGTAAGTTTACAAAATAGTTTTGAAAGAGATTTATCATCAATTTTAAAGTTACATGGAATATTACATGGAATTCTTGATTATTTTTCCATTACAGGCATTCCTAAACTGAGAGGGTCATCTCTTTTGTCCAATATGACAAAGTCAAAAATAGGTATCTTTTAGGTCTCAAAGGTTTTTTTTCCCCATAGACCTCTACCAAGAAGTGCAGAAGTAATGTTGGGGGATAGGTAAAGGTTCCCTTGCTCGAAAGCCAGTTGAGTCCGACTCTAGGGTTGTGGTGCTCATCTCCGTTTCAAAGCCGAAGAGCCAACGCTGTCTGAAGACATTTCCGTGGTCATGTGGCCGGCATGACTAAACACCAAAGTGCACGGAACGCTGTTACCTTCCCACCGAAGTGGTACCTATTTATCTACTTGCAATTTTTTGCTTTCGAACTGCTAGGTTGGCAGGAGCTGGAACTAGAGACGGGAGCTCACTCTGTCATGCAGCAACTCGGGTCTTGAACTTTTGAACTACTGATCTTCCACAGCCTGCAGTTCAGCGTCTTAACCACTTGAGCCACCGCAGCTCCTTATTGACTACCTTATTTCTTCTAACTCCACTAGCTCAAAGACCAGCCAGTTTAAGTGCCTGGGGATTTGGGGGGGAAGGGGCCTTGGGGGGGGGCACTAGCTAATTAAATCAAAGGCTCCAGGGCAAGAGGAGTCTGCTTGGCTCACACCCACACAGCCCCCACTAGAGTCTTCCTTTGAGGCGAGCCAGAATCCCAATGTTAATAGACACTAAAAGGTCTAGGAAAGCTGCTGTGTTTAAAAAAAAGAGAGAGAGAGCGAGGATCAAGCTTCCTCCCTCACTTCTTCCCTGAGACAACAATCTTTTCCAAAGCCTGGTGCAGGAAATCCAATAGGAGGAGCTAACTGCTGCAATCCGACCAGTGTGTGTGTGACTGGGTCAACCACCAGTTGCTGCTGGGTCCTAAAGAGACTCATCTCAGATGAACTCAAACATGGAGATGCCGGCTCAGATCGATCAGGGGGTGAGGGGGCTGGAGGGAGGGAGGGGGAGCTGAGGATCAAGGAAGGGGCCCACAAAAACAGTGGGGGGGCGCCATGGGCCCTGCATTAGCTACGGGCCTGCAGCAAGACAGAATCAGTAGTTTTTTTGTCCATTTCTGGCAAGTAAGCAGGAAAGATGTTATCAGCAATAGATTTTTCAGCTCACCAAAAATCAACTTGCAATATGCTGGCAGTTCTTGTATTTGCAGATGACAGCTTTAACCAACTAATCCCCTGGGAAGCTCCATAAAGGAATCTTTCCTACTTCAGAACCTTGTATCTGCACGCCTCAGTACTATTCAAAATTAGGGCAGATGGTGTCAGTGCATTATACAATTTCTTCCTCTTACAAAACTGAGGAATTAGAAGCATTATTAGTATCAGAAATAGAATTTTGACCTGATTTATTTAATTGTGCAGTTCCCCACTGTGAATGAAATATTAAGTTAGTTCTGTGTCTGTCCTACTACTAGCTGCGTACAATTTTGAGCATTTAGAATGCCCTAAAAGCTTACACAAACTTTTCCCTCCATCCTTTAATAACAAATCAAACAATAGCATCACAATTAATACAGACTACAGCACATGGAAATTAAATTGGAGAAATCATATAACCACCTGTTTTGCCAAATTTAGGCAAAAACAGAAAATAAATTTTCCTTCAAGGCAAGCAAAGACTACTTTAGAAATTGGCCCTCCGTTTTGAACTATAATAACTTACATATTCCTAGTGGGGGGGGGAGACTTAGAAAGTGGGTTGATTTTTCAAGAGACAAAGGTGGGGGGATGAGGTGATGGATGATTCTGAAGTTTTCATTTGTGGTCCCGAGTAATGTGGTCATTCAACAGTAAAATCGTTATAGTACCATATATAAACATGAAAAGACAACATGCCATATTTTTTGAATGTGGAAAAAGTTTACATAACCTTCTTCTGTGAAGAACAGGGTCCTCCCCTTAATGTACCATAGTTCAAGCATATTTGAACTATTTCATTTAATGTGGCAACTAAAAGTGATTGATTTGTGCTTTCTGTTACTTAAATATGTAAAAGTGAAAAGCCAGTGTGGTGTGGAGTGGAGTGGTTAGCATGTTGAACTAGGACCAGAGTTCGTATCTACCCTTGCCAAGGAACTTACTGAATGACCTTTGCCCATTAATTTTTCTCATCCTGACTGACCTCACAACGTTATTGTGAGGATGAAATGGACAAGGGGAGAATGGTGTATGCTACCCTAAGCTCTTTGGAGGGAAGGTGAAATAAAAATGCACTTAGCTTAGTGGGAAATGCAAGGGTTTTATAGTTGCATTTCATACTTTTGGTGTTCTATTTTTGAAAGACTTGTTGGATAACATTATTTCCAAATATACAAAGAGTTTTTCTCCTGGCAATATAATCCAGAAAAGATACACATTCAACCTGTCCAGCCTTCTGATATGCCATCAATTTAGTCATTATTTTTTTAGAAGGGAGTATAAAGGGGGGGGAACACTTTTTAATATAACTTCCCTCCCAACCAGAATGCTATCTTGAGCCATAAAAAGACTTTCTTTGGATGTATATGGCATTCTCCATTTTTCTATTATTACAGAATATCAGGTGTTTTCATTGTCTGTTACTTCCCAGTTTGAATAACCGATATCTTTTGATTCTAAAACACTGTTTGCTAGTGTCATGGTTACTCTGTTGTCATTAGCCGACTAACATTTAACTTCTTTCTCCCCTTCTTTGCCGCATAATAATGGAGTAGTAAACCTGACAGGTGAGAACTGAAGAACAATTGTTCTTTTTTCTCTCTCAGAAAAGGGGAAATGGGAAATAAAATACAAAAAAAGGTACCAGTCTAAGCCTGCAGTCCTATGCATACTAACCTGAAAATAAACCTATTGAACACAGTGGCACTTCTAAGTCAACAAGCATAGGATTGCACTACAGATGAGCCCAGCCTGACAAAGACAATGCCTTAACACAGCATGGAAATTTCATATCTTTAGAATTCAGATACCCATATAGAATGTTTTCATTTTGGGGCTACCCGTGAAAAATATATCTAGTCTTTCATATTTGTTTTCTGTAACATTTTCCAAGCTAGCATAAAATTGATTTACAAGAGTAGAATTCCTGGATCTCACTTGGAATGGTGTTAGAATCAGAAAATGTAGTGTAAGAGAAATTGGCCCATTATTGCTAAAGAAAGGGTGTTTAAGTGTTCTCTCCTCATAGATAATCCCGGGAAAGTTCCAGATTTGTAAGGATGTTTCACATGCCTTGAGATTGTAGTCACTGGCCTCATTCACAAAAAATATTAGACATGAACTGAATCCCATTGAAAGCAATGCAACTTTAGCATTTAATGGTAGGCTTGAATTAATTTCAATAGGATTTAGCCATGCGTAACTATTTTGGACTGTGCCAGCTTTTTTCAAGCAAGCCCATTATTATAAATGATGACTGTAGGCACTGACTGCATGAAGATTTCCTTCTTATTGTTTCATATTAATTTCAAACACTACATACATATATAAACAGTATTCTTGTTTTAATTGCATTGTTTTTCATGGATTTTACAGAATTTGTTGTATCCATTCTCATTTTTAAAAAGTACAAGTGCTTAAATATATCTCCATTCATTATTATTGACATCTTGATTAATCTTCTTAACAATCGTGTTTGTTTTGTCCATGTAGGAAAAGGGCAGAGACAGACTCTAGAAAGAGCAGCATACCCAACAGCAAGGAAATTCCTTCCCATCATCCCACAGACCCAGTAGAGCTGCGACGCCTTAATTTTCAGACACCAGGTAAGATGCCAGATATTCTTGTTGCCAAATATTCTTGTTTATCCTTCTATAAGCTGTGTATTGTCAGTGTCTGCCCTAAGTAGAAGTGAGACATAGAATGCTGAATTTAATTAATTTCATTCACACGAACACATGAAGTGGCTGTATACTGATTTAGAGCATGGATCTATCACGGTCAGCAATTGTCTTCCCTGAGGGCTCAACAAGATGTGACGACTCCTTTGATTCCTTCATAGGGATAACGCCACTTGAGGGATGAAGTTCCCATGTGTTTAGAAACACCATGGGGGCCTGATCTGGTTGGGACTCTCTGCCCCTGTGCTGTTTTCAACAGCCCAAATGCAGGGGGGTTGGGCTCTTGAAAACAGTAGCCCTTCCTCCCCCCCATGCCGCGGTCCCGATCTGGATCAGGCCCCTGTGGCATTTGTACACACAGGGTATTTCATCCCTAAAATGGCAACAGTGGCTTTGTGTTGGACTTTGGAACACCATCATATATAGCTGAGAGCCAACAGCTCTCTAGAATCTCAGGCAGAGGTCTTTCACATCACTGTTTCACATCACTTTTAACTGGAGATGGTGGAAATTAAACCTTGGACCTTCTGCATGCAAAGTAGATGTTCTACCAGTGAATTACAGTCCCACTCCTAACTGAATTTAATGAGTTTCTTATTTGCATTTACTGGAGAGACTTTAGTTTGAAAAAAGCTTTGTAAGGTGAACATTATTCCATCTGGGTTCATTGTAGGGAGCGGCACCATGTGATCAAGAAGTAAGCTGTGGTACTCCTACACTGACCTAGTCTAGTGACTTGTTGGTTACGTCTTATGATACTTTTGGTACTTTAAAAAGCCTGACCATTAAAGGAACTCTGCTGAACTTGAAAGCCAATTTTACTTTTACCCAATACTGTTTCTGACAGACTGTTTATTCTTGTATATTCATCATGTCATGGCTGAAACATCAAGTTTGACCAGGCACAAGCAATTCATACTTGCCCTCCACCACAAAAATAGAGTCCCGTTCCATTCATATAGTCTCATGAGCGATGAAAGAACAAAAATCAATTTTATTTCTGAAATGACAAAAATATAGCATATCATAGTAAGCTACAGCCTGGGTCAGAACCCCTGGACACCCCAGGTTATAGTAATGTATATATTTCCCAAATCCTTGCCATGCTTGAGCCCTGATGATGTCACATGTATGAAACAGTCACCAAAGATCAAATTCCACAGACTGGCCTTTCAGATGAAAACTCTATTTCACATCACTTATGTCATATACATATGAACTTATCTGAACCCATGTGAACTTACCTGAACATTATGGACATTTGGGGGCTACGTCCTTTGGGTGCCCCGATCGTCTGAGGCTAGATGGGTGACTACCTAAGAAAAGGACTTCTGAGTGGCAGCACTAGGGTTGCCAGGTTCTACCTTTTAGGCAGCAGGGACTCTTGGGTTCTTCGTGGGATCTTTTTCTCTGGAAGTGACATCATCGCGTTGCTGACATCAGGGGGTGATGCTCTAGTTTTTTGGGCAAACTCTATGGGGGTTTTGCTGTCAAAACCATAGAGTTTGCCCAAAAACTAGAGCATCACCCCCTGATGTTGGTGATGTGATGATGTCACTTCTGGGTGATGTCATCATGACAGGAACATCACATGGCAACGTGTCTGTTTGGGGTGGGGCTTTCAGAAATTGGGGAAAACCCTGCCTGAACTGGGGGTCTGGCAACCCTAGGTAGCACCCAAAATTGGAATTCCCTCCCCATGGAGATTCATCTGTCTCCCTGTAGTTAAGTGTGTGGACTCTAATCTGGGAGAACTGGGTTTGATTTCCCACTCCTCCACTTGTACCTGCTGGGTGACCTTGGGCAAGCCATAGTTCTGGCACAGCTGTTCTTGGAAAAGAGCAGTTTCTGTCAGAGCTCTCTCAGCCCCACCTACCTCACATGGTGTCTGTCTTGGGGAGGGGAAGGAAAAGGAGTTTGTAAGCCACTCTGAGACTCCTTCGGTAGTGAAGGGCAGGGTATAAATCCAATCTCTTCTTCTTCTTCTTCTTCTTCTTCTTCTTCTTCTTCTTCTTCTTCTTCTTCTTCTTCTTCTTCTTCTTCTTCTTCTTCTTCTTCTTCTTCTTCTCTATCATTGTCCTTTCACCCATGGGTTAAGACTTTGTTGTGTCTCTTGGCTTTCTGTTATTGATGCTCCTTCATGTTTGTTTTAACCGCTGTTTTATATATGTATGTATCTGTGTATCTATGAATTGTGAATTCTCTTAAGAGCAGTAAGAAAGAAAAGAGTTGATGATAATGGTTAGGGGTGCCAGCTCTGGTTTAAGAAATTCCTGCAGATTTGGGGGTGGGGAGAAGAAGGATGTCAGCAGGGTATAATGTCATAAAGTCCACCCTCCAAAGCAGCTGTTTTCTCCAGGGGAACTGATCTCTGTCATCTCAAAATCAGTTGTAAATCCAGGAAATCTTCAGGCCTCACTTGGAGGTTGGCAACCCTCAATTGGTTCATTTAAGGATTTAGTAGCAGTTTCTAAAAAGCAATCTGTTTTTCTGTAAGTTTAGCTCCGTATAATGGGTAGTTTCCCTCCTTTGAGCTCACACGTTTAAAGAAACCTCAGAAAGATGCTCAATTTTCACTGCCCTATTATCAGAAAGAAAGAGTCTGCATGTGTAGCTTTTAAGCATGCAGATTCTGATCCACGTTGCAGAATCTTTTAAGCCTGTGTATATGTTTGTGTTTTTGAAAAGATATTGAGGGAAATGAAGGGGAGGCAATTTTAAACCAATAGTGTGATTTTTATTGCTTTTAGAAGATAGGTGAAAACATAGGGGAGGAATTTAAACTGGATTCAGATTATAATTGTACCCATAGTATCAGCAGCAAAATCAGCCATTTATGACCAGTCCAAAAGAATACTTTGCAGTTACATAGAAATAGGGCTGCCAATCCCCTGGTGAGGGCAGGTTATTCGCTATCCGGTTGCCTGCTGCTGCTGGATGGTCGGTGAAGGAAAAATTTAAAAGAAAAATAAGGCCTCATCTACTTAGAGAAAGTTCTTACTACAGAGTTCCTGGGAATTCCTAGAGCTACCAAAAGGTGACAAGGGGTAGCTCTAGAAATCATTGGAAACTCCATGGTAAGAACTTCCAGTTCTACCATAGAGTTTCCAGCAATTCCTAGAGCTATGTTTCGTCACTTCTGGGTAGCTCTAGGAATCTCCTGGAACTCTATGGTAAGAACTTTCTATAAGTAGACAAGGCCTTACTTTTCCTTTTAATTTTTCAGATGCTGCCCCCCCCCACAACCCCCTCACCAGTTGTGAGGCACTGTCTGGCAACCCTACATTAAAAAAAAAATTAATCCACCTTGTGTGGTAAGTATCTCAATGTGGGCAAACAGGGAGAGGAGCCTTAAAGGCTGGCATGGGTCCGTAGAAGAAGGGAGAACTGCTGAGTCAAGTAGTAAGAAGATGGAGAAAGAGGACAGAGAGAGAGGAATTCAATGACGGGGGGTTGAGGAGGATGACAGGGCTGTTTGATAAAGCCACTGAAGGGTAGCTCCAGTGTGGTGGGAGAACTGAGGGCCGAGGACAACTTGGTGAAGGACATAAAGGTGGTACAGAATGTTTGAAAAGTAAATCTGCTGGCAGAGAGGCTGAAGAAGGAGAATTAAAGGTGATGTGTGATGATGGAAGTCAGTTTGGAGTGGAACAAAGTTTTCCGGTCCAAGGCTCCACCTAGGGTTGTCAGGCTGCAGCACCTGGGAGCAATTTGGGGGAGGGACTGGCATGCTGACATCACTTGGGACTAAAACTTAAAATGACTCCATAATGTCAGGGGGAGGTGCTGTAGGATTTCCAAAAAAACTAAATAGATTACAAAAGACTCAAACATTTTTGTAGTATATATGACAAGTACTGCCATTTTCTATATTAATTAATCTTGAATGTGTCAATCCTTTGTTCTTTGTACTGACAAAAATGTCCATTGGACACGACAGGGCATACTAAAAGAGCTGGGGGAATCTACTTCTCCTCCCCCAAACACACACCCATTAACTTTAGCAGAGTTTCTTTAACACGCAAGCTTGATAAAAACATCCTACATGGAAGAGACGAGAAAAAGAAAATTACTCACAATAGCAACATGTTCCTTGCCTGCTAAAAAGCATTACAAGGGCTCAAGGAGGTTACAAGGGACACTAGAACTACTAGTTACCTCTCTGTTGTAGTATGTCTTGCTTCTCACTCTTCAGCCCTCCACTCCTTCATAATGTAACTTCCTCCCTCCCTTCACACAAAGCCACTATATTTGATAGATTTAGTTTGCAGTTACAAAAGGTTTTCAGGGGTCCCGTTCACACTAGCCGATTTGGGCCGGGAGCGGGACAGTTCGGAGCCGGCTCAAACCGGCGCGATCACACCACAACATCTGGGAAGCGTATTGCTTCCGTGGCCGAACTGCCCCTTCCCCGCCCAAAGCCGCCTCAAACCGAACCACCTACCTGGGTGGTTCAAACGGAAGAGGCGCTTCTTCCCGGGCGTTTGATCGCCGGCGCAACTTTGCGCCGGCACAACCCCGGCCCGGAGCCAAACTGCGCATGCTCGGACATGCGCAGTTCGGCCGGCCCCCGGTTAGGGCCGTGTTTTCTCCCCGGCGTTTGATCGCGCTGGGGAGAAACGGCGGCGCGGCCGGGGGATCCGTGGGATCCCGCCGCGCCGTGTCAAAGTTGGCGCGGCTTTTAAAAGCCGCGCCTTCAAGCGCCGTTTCCCTGCCGTGTGGCAGGGGCCAGGGTGGATAAGTAGGAAAGGGCAGCTGGCAAATTGTTTCCAGCTTTCTTTTAAAAGAGCACTAAGGTAAGGAGCATTTTCTTAGGAGTAATAGATCTCAGTAGTGTTCTGAGTAGACCTGCTTAGGATTGCTCTCTAAATATTGGTTATTCATTTTCTCAGTGTTGTGTTTAGAATACCTTTGAGAATTATTCA